CCGGAGCTTTCCCCGAAGCCACGCCTCCGGGTCTCCTGCCCGGGTTTTCCGCGGGCTGCCGTGAGGCCCACAGCGCGGTCCAAGGCAGGGCTGGTGACCCAGGAGCCGCAGGTTTTATTGGCCGGAAATCAACTGGGGCGTGATGGATGAGATAAAGAACCGCCGAGCAACCGGAATCGTCCGACTCACGTCATTAATTAGCAACTAATTTCAGAGTTGTCTCGGATGGTTGATGTCTGGAAAGCCACGTGCCAATTGACCAGTGGTGGCAAGATGAGAAAGAGGTAGATCTCCAGGACGGAGCCTGGGCATGCGATAGCCCACACAGCTGTGGTCTGCAAGAGAAAAGCCAGTCGCTTACAAAGTCAAACCAGGCTGTCACTCATCACGTGTACCTTAAGTGAACTTAAGTGTAAAATTTCCTTAATAATGAAGTCTAACACCTACCAGGATTGCACAGAACACATAATTTATGGGCGAATGCAGCATGTAAATTTCTGAAATAGGTTTTTCTTTCTTTCTTTTTTTATTGGCTTTCTTTCTTTCCTTTCTTCCTCCCTCCCTTCTTCCTTCTTTCCTCTCTTCCTCCCTCCCTCTTTTCTTCCTCTTTCTCTTTCTCTTTTATTTTTTTTAAACCAGAGTATAGTCTAACCCAGATTGTCCGCAACCTTGCAGTGTAGTTAAGGCTCACACTGAACTCCTGATCCTCTGAGTGCCACCTCCCAAAAGCTCGTATTACCAACATGCGTCACCATGCCAGGCTTGAATTTTGAATTGGCTAGGCTAATTTAGAACTTAAGAATCTTAAATTTTCTGTCTTACAAATAACTCGACTTCTAGATGGAACCGATTTTATTAAAAGATTTTAAAGTTTTAATTCCAGGAAGTTATTTCAGGCACGGCAAATGAATGCCTATAATTAAAGACTGAACTACTTCCAAGAAGCAGGCTGAAAGATGTTCCATGCTGGTAAGTCACTTAGAAATATTTTCATTTTCCAAAATGTGGGGAGGTGGTGTTACCCCCTTTTAATCCTAGCACTCAGGAGGCAGATGCAAGCAGATCTTTTGAATTAGAGACCAGCTTGGTCTGCAGAGTGAGTTTCAGGATAGCCAGGGCTACACAGAGAAAGCCTGTCTTGAAAACAACAAAACAAAACAAAACAAACTATGTGTGTGTGTGTGTGTGTGTGTGTGTGTGTGTATCCAAGAAAGACTGTTCCCACCTCCTTCCACTCCACTTGCTGCAGTCATAGAGGGAGGAAAGTTCTCGTTTCCCGGGTCCTCAAATTGCTGGAAGTGTGGAGAGGTAAGGTGGTGGTACACACCTGTAATCCCAGCACTTGAAAATGGAGATGGGAAGATTTGGAGTTGGAGGTAAACTGGGGTTTACATAACAAGATACTGTATCAAAATAAGTCAAAGTATTCACAGACCAGTAAAGGAAACAAGTATGAGAAGGGGTATACTGGGCCTGTATCTGTAGAGCGGGGTACACAGTAACCACTGTTTGCCCAGGGTGTTACTGGCAAGGGTGTTATCTAGTAAGCAAGGAGGCTTGAGTTCAGTCCTAACACACACACACACACACACACACACACACACACACAGAGAGAGAGAGAGAGAGAGAGAGAGAGAGAGAGAGAAATGTGATTAGTTGATGTTTCTAAAGAATATGAACCATCATTATAAACTTCAGCATTTGGTGAAAATAATTTATAACAAGACACGCTGTCCTGGCCAGAAACTTGCTAGATTCTACTGGGTCTGCGGTGTTTGCTACAACTGGGTATTGTGTTTGTGTTGAAACAAACTCAGACTACCAAATTGTAGGGCTGCAGGATGAACCACTACGCACAGTTTGTGTGTGTGTGTGTGTGTGTGTGGTTTTTGATACAGGGTCTGACTATGTAGCCTGGATGCCCTGGAATTTAGGTACGTAAACCAGGCTGACCTCAAACTTATAGCTATCCTTCTGCCTCTGCCCTAGGAACATTATCTTTGATTTTTGTATCCTTTGCACCTAAAACAACTATTATTGAATAATTGAATGACTATAAGTGAATGCATAAACTTTAAAAGAGGCCATTTCTATAAGCTGGGTGTGGTTGTGTATGCCTGTAAATCCCAGCACTTGGGAGGTAGAGGCGGAAGGATCCAAAGTGTTTTTTAAGAATAGAAAATGGGGAAAGCAGCCATTTCAAAGTCTCTTTCCTTGAAGAGGTGGAAACAGACAGTTGGCCTTTCATGGCACAGGCCTTTAGCAGGAAGTGCCTCTGGTTTGGTTCGTTTGTTGGAGCCTAGTGTAAAGGCCTTGTCTAAAACAAAGATCTTCTCTAACTCTTATTCAACAACATACTTGTCCACTCTTTTTCTGTGTCTCAAATACACTCCCCCTAAATTCTGTCTGACTTTCTATCACAAATCCTACTCCTTCCCTATTAGGAACAAGCGCTTCTCATTGTTACTCTCCAGGCCTTGAGTCTTCCTCCTCCGTTAGAGCATTTGAACAAAGGAGACTTTTATAACGAGGTCTTGGATACATTGTAAAAAGCTATGCTCTGTAGCTTCTGCTGGCTCAAAAAGAAAACACTTTCAGAAATCTGGGGAATTTTAAATGGAAGCGGGTAATGTCTGTGTGCTGCGTTCACTTTAGAGGATATTTAATGGGTTAAATCCACATGGTTGATGACTTGCCTCAGGGCAGACAGTGCCGGCCACCAAACCCGACAACTGAAGTTTAATCCCAGGGAGGAGACACCTGGTTTCTACAGGTTTTTTCTCTGCCCTCTAAACTATGTGCACTTTTTAAATATACTAAAAATTTTTTCATTGACAATCTTTAATTGTGATCTACAGAATGCTAGTAAGGCTTTAAAACAACGTGGAACTCATCAGAGGGGCGGGGTGGGGTGGGGGAAAGAGAGTGATCTCACTACAAGACCTAAAAGTTCTGCTAAGGACTCACGCTTAATTTCTAGGTGCTGCAAATTCTCTTGGCATCACACAAACAGTCACACAAACAAAAGGAAAGTCTGAGAGTCTGAGGCAGGAGGTTTATGTTTGGTTTAGTTTGGTTTTTTTGGGGCTTTTTTGTTTTTGTTTTGTTTGTTTGTTTTGATAAAATGTCTTCCAGGTTAACCTGGAACTCGCTCTGTAGCTACCCTAAACTCAGAGATAACCGGCCTTTGCAGGTTATCTTGAGGGCTGGGATTAAAGGTTTGCAATCCCAGCCTCACTTGGTTTTTATTTTAATGCAGATTGTGATGTTGTTTCCCCATTAACTGGGTTCTGACCTCACGCTCTTTCAAGATTGGCTAGTTTGTTTGTTTTTTTTTTTTTAATGTGAATAAAGGACAAAAGAAAAAGGAAAAGGGGTGGGTTACCTTAGGCCATCACCCTGTGTGGAAACAAGTGATTACCAGGTGACAAAGATTAAAAATTTGCTTAAATTTTGCAAGGTGGGGGAGATTAAAAGATTTGAATTCCTTTCATAAAAGTTTCACAAGATGGGGGAAGACTTATGGAATATTGGCCCTTGTGGAGCAAGGAACGCTTGAAAGGAAAAAGAATTTTCTTACTTAGACTACGGTCAAAAATGAAAAGCAACTTGAGTTTGGAATAGTGATGCCCTTTTTGAATTATTTTTATTTTTGAGACACTCTCGTGAAGCTGAGAAGAAGACCTTTGTCCCCTGAGCTTCTGCTTCCCAGGAACTGAGATTACAGGTATCGGCTACGTTGTGAATTGGGGGCTGTCTGGGTTACAAGAGGACCATCTCAAGGAACAGACAACTCTATCAGCGGTCTTACTGTGTGACAAAACTTTTCCTGGGAGACAACACACACACACACACACACAAACACACACAAAATCTACTCCCCCCAGACAGGGATCCCAGGACAGACCAGAGTATGGATACCACCAAAGTCCAACCTAGTGAACCAGTTTTATTGGGGTCACTTAGAGGAGCAGATGTGAAGGGAACTCCTGCACTTTGGGTGCTCCCTTCCAGACCCCAGATTAGCCACAAACCACACCCAAACACCTGTTTTTACAGAGAGATCCTTTATTAAGTGGGGAAGAAAAGTGGCTGCTGTCTGACTCTGGTAGAAAAAAAAAAACAAAACATAGCAAGCAGCAAGTGACCTTACAGGTGTAATTTTTAAGCCAAGAAAAAGGGGAGATCTGTGTTAGGATGGGCTAGGATGTGGTGGTAGAGGAGATAGAGGACAAGGGAGAAGAGGAAGAGAATGAGGGAAAGGGGTTAGGGGCATTTGTCCCAATGGGAGAAAGGACAGCCTCTGCACAATCCCAGTACTCAGGAGGCAGAGGCAGGTGGGTCGCTCAGAGTTCAAGGCCAGCCTGGTCTACAGAGTGAGTTCCAGGACAGCCAGGGCTGTAACACAGAGAAACCCAGTCTTGAAAAATCAAAAGGAGGGAGGAAGGGAGGAAGAAAGGAAAGAAGGAAGGAGGATGAGAGAGGAAGAAAGAAAAAAGAAAAGAAAAAGAAAGGGGGAAAAGGCTCAAATTTAATTGTCTTTAAAATCCAAAAAAAATCACTACAGTGATGAGCAATATTACAGGAGAGAGAACC